AAAGTAAATTATATGTGAAATTCAAAAAACTTCCACCCAAGTAGTCGTCAGTTTATTGTACTTGGGCCTCTGCCAATAAGCTCTTCCACAGATGGATGTTTTACTCATACTCATACCTGACCAAGGCGACATCTACAAGCCCAACCTGCGATGCTGGCTCCTAGTCACTAGTCAGGGAGAGGGCTTAAGACCGATCGTCCATTGATTATAATTGATATAATAAAGCAAAGACCAGATGTAAATATTAAATTCCATATGACGATGCAGTTGACGATGAAAATTTGATAGATCGTTTTATAAATAGAACCGTTCTGTTTTGTTTATAGTTTTATTTAAATTCATTGTTAAGCCCCTGAGCTGTAGATATTATTGTAAGACTTAGTCCGGCAGAATTGACCCGAACCTGGTTTTGTCCTATTAAGTTATTTTATTGTTGATATGTGATATCTAGGGTAAGTAGACCCTAAAACCACCGGGTACTTTTTTGGTACCCTTGGGCAACAGCCGCCATCTTGGAAAATGGCGGGAAACGTAAATTTCAGTGTAAGCTTTTACTTAAACCAATGTAATTTAAAAACGATTAAAGATGGAACAATGCATGTTATTTTAAAATGTTTATGGTTAAATTCCCTACTCAGAAATACCATATATTAAATATATATAATTTGTTTTAAGGTCAGTATTACTTTTCAAAGATTATAATTTATAAAAAAATAATGTCATATTTATTTTTATTTCAATTTTGCGCCTTAATTACTCAAAATATGACTATAATATACATTATAAAGTTTGTAGAGCTTTAAATTTGGCATCGAATAAATCTATTGGATATTTGTTGGATCAAGGGTAACGCCAGAACAAAGCGTTAGAAAATAATGTTTTTATTGATTTTCAATGTAAAATAAGGATATTTTATATGTTCAATAAAATTGTAACATCTTTCCTGAGACTATCCGCCACTTCTCTCTGGCTGTTTTTGGTATTAAAATGTTTGTAAAATTATCAAATTTAATTTGAACTATTAACTGTTGTATTTAAGGACTTTAAGGTCGATCTATTCATCTTCACTGCAAAGAAATAACATTTTTTTTTCATAAAAAGTTTAAATTTTGACCAACTGTTATAAAGTAAAGAATATTTTAGTTTCATTATAACAATCATCAAGAAGCCAGTTTTAGTTAAATACAATAGGGCCTAAGGTCAAAGTACAAATAGTACAAAGTTCAACCCCACAGAGGAGACGAACGACGAGGAAGTCTCAGTCTACGTTATGCCAAGGTACGTTAAACATGATAGTCATAGTGTGTTGTTGGTTAGTCAGGTTAAATTCAGTGTTAGACCGGCTAGTTATGTCTAAATCGTATAGGTTATGATTAGGCAATTATTAAAGAAAACTAAACTATTTCATGGCGACGAGTATTTTAAAGTGAGTTTCTTTATTTTGTGCGCGCTTTTAAAAGTATATTTTTGCGTCAAGTGTCTCCTTTTTGTTGGTGAAAGAGAGAAGGAATATTCATTTTAACAAGGAACGGCAAACGAGCAATTAACAATCAGCTAAATCCAGAAGCAACGGGTGAGAACAGTGAAGAAAGGAGTGGTTGTACTTGGGAACGGATTGAAGAAGGCAGGTCCAATAACAGGAACAGCTCCAAGATAACAGGTCCAGTATTGCCCTGCAAGCATTTCCAGTTCCAGTTACACCAGGTCGGTAAGCAGTTACCAAGAAGTAATAAGTTTTGGAACTGTTAAAAGTAACAGGTACAGAGAGATTTCTGTAAGTGGACACTGGTTGACTCACTGAAAGCACGTTGCACGGGTTGGATTAGTCATCACGGTGTCGTGTGCAAACTTTCTTGTCAGATATTGCAAAGTTTTGCTTAAATGTGCTTAAAACTGATTTTTAAACGTTTGAAGCTATTTAAAGTGAATAAAAGTGTTTTAATATACAAGAAAAGTATTGCCCTAGAAGATTATTGAAGTATGTTTTGATTTAAATGATTTTTAGTGTAGGCCTAGGACTTGTACTATGGCCAAGAGCATCATCGGTAAGTTGTCAGAGTTTGATCCAGAGCAGGAATCTTTTGAAAATTTCTCTGAAAGGCTAGAAAACTTCTTTTTAGTAAATTCAGTTAAGGATGAAGATAAAAAGAAATATTTTATCTCGTTTATGGGGCCTAAAATGTATGCCACTTTGAAAAATCTCTTGGTTCCTAAGTTGCCTAAAGATGTAGCTTTTAAGGAAGCTTTGGAAGCTCTTCAAGCTCATTTTGCTCCGAAAAGGAATATTACATATGAACGTTTCCTTTTTAATAAGAGAAACCAGTTGGATAGTGAAACAATCTCGGAATATGGGGTTCAACTTAAAAAGCTAGCCTCAAAATGTAATTTTGACAGGTTTTTAGATGAGGCTCTCCGTGACAGATTTTTGTGTGGGTTGAAATCAGTTCAGATCCAGAGTAAGTTATTAGCAGAGGGGGATAGTTTAACTTTTGAAAAAGCCCTATCTACTGCATTAGTCATGGAAGATGCGGAGCACAATGTCAAATATTTACATAAAAATAGTGCTGTTGAGGTAAACTTTGTTAAAACAAAAGTTCCGCACCGAAGGTTAGGCCTAAAAGTACAGGCCAAGATGCTAGGCCTAAAGTGTGTTACAGGTGTCAGAAGGAGCATGATGCTTGGAGTTGTCCGTACAAGAAGTACGTATGTAATTTGTGTAAGCGAAAAGGTCACTTAGCGGCTGCTTGCCAACAGAGTAAATATAAAAGGTCTTCTTTTAAGTTTAAGCCTAAATCTAGGGTTAGCTATTGTGATGAAGATAACCTCAATCACACAATCTGTAGTGATGAGGATGATTCTGTTGATGGAGAGGAGTTGTATTTAAGTGATTTGACGGTAAATACCATAGCCTATGCTAATAGTTCTGGAACAAAGAATTTTATAGCAAAACTGTTTGTAAATAATGTACCATTGAACATGACTGTTGATACTGGAGCAGTAGTTAGTGTCTGCCCGGAGAAAATTTATTATGATAAATTGCAGCATGTAGTCCCAGCATTAAAGCGTTCATCCATTAGTTTGAAAACGTATACTGGAGACAAAATACCAACAATTGGTGAGTTTCAGGCTACAGTCTCCACCGATGACGGACAATCGAAGGTGTTGCCGCTCGTTGTTGTCAAAAACAAGGACCCAAATCAACCAATATTAATGGGGAGGAATTGGCTTCAGGAAATCAAATTGGATTGGTCTCGGATCAACGGGGGAGAAAGTTCCTCGCTGCTGGCAATTGGTAAGACTGTTCCAATTCATAATAGGATTAAAGATCTGAGGGCCAAGTATAATGATGTTTTTGATGGCAAGTTTGGGGAGATTAAAGATGTAGAAGTTAATTTGGTGTTAAAAGAAAATGCAAGACCGGTATTCTGTAAGCCACACAACGTCCCGTTTGCATTAAGGCCTGCAGTAGAAGCAGAGCTCAAGAAATTAGAAGATAATGGAATAATAAAACCTGTGACTCAGTCTGAGTGGGCCACGCCTTTGGTGGTGGTTCGAAAGGTTAATGGTACAGTTAGGCTATGTGGGAACTACAAAATAACGCTAAATCCTTGTGTAAGGACTGATCATTATCCTTTGCCCCTGCCTGATGAAATTTTTAACAAAATAGTAGGAGCCAAAGTATTTTGTAAATTGGACTTGGCAAATGCATACTTACAGTGCAAAGTAAATTCAGCTTCACAGGAGTTGCTTACCATAAATACTCATAAAGGATTGTACAGATATCTCAGACTTCCTTATGGAATCTCAAGTGCAGGACCCTTGTTTCAATCTGTTATGGACAAAATCCTTTGTGGACTAAAGAACACGTATTGTTATTTAGATGATATACTGATAACGGCTGCTAGCAATGAAGAAATGTTTTTACATCTAGAGGCGGTCCTCCGCAGGCTTATGGAGTATGGAGTTAAAATTAATAACGAAAAGAGTGAGTTTTTCAAGACTAGGATCACTTTCCTAGGGCATGAGTTGGATGAAGCGGGTATTCACCCTTCTAAGGTACTTACGGAAGCTATTGTAAAGGCACCCAAACCAGAAAATGTGTCACAGCTTCGCTCATTCCTGGGGTTAGTTAACTATTATGGAAAATTTTTGCCAAATCTCTCTAGTATATTGTATCCATTGTACCAGCTTTTAAATAAAGATGTTAAATGGAATTGGTGTCAAAAATGTGAAGAGGCTTTTACAACAAGTAAAAACATGTTAGTGCAAAACAATGTTCTGCTTCCATTTGATCCAAATTTAGACATTGTAGTCTCAGCCGATGCATCACATTATGGTCTAGGAGCTGTCTTAGCACTTGTGTTACCCAACGGGTCTGAAAGGCCTGTAGCATTCGCATCGCGGACATTAGGCAAGAGTGAGATTAAGTACGCACAAGTCGAAAAAGAAGCACTGGCTCTCATTTTTGCTGTGCGCAAGTTCCATAATTTCTTATATGGGAGGAAATTCACACTGGTGACTGACCATAGAGCATTAACATTCTTGCTTGGTCCCACCAAGGCCATACCCACTCTGGCAGCTGCTAGAATTCAGAGGTGGGCATTAATTTTGGCAACATACCAATATGATTTAGTGTACAAAAAGGGTGCTGATCATGGAAACGCAGATGCCCTCTCTAGGCTGCCATGCAAAGGAGAAGAGGAGGAGGAGATAGAAGGTGAAATAAACTTTTTGCCCACAGTCAGAAATTTCCTATATCCTACAAGGAAATCGGGGTTGCGACAAAGTATGATCCGATTCTGTCGAAGGTCTTAGACCTTACTAGAAATGGCTGGCCTGCATATACGAATGATATACAGCTAAGACCGTATTCCGATAAAGCATTGCAACTTTCAGTAGAAAAAGACTGCTTGCTGTGGGGCTCAAGAGTAATAATTCCCCGTGTTCATCAAGAGGAAGTGCTACAATTGTTACATACGGAACACCCTGGTGAGTCGCGTATGAAGGCAATATCTCGCAGCTTCGTTTGGTGGCCAAAACTTGATGTTGAAATTGAAGAGTTTGTGAAGAAGTGCAGTATCTGTCAGAAGACTAGGAAATCAATGCCAGTGGTCCCGTTACAACCATGGTCATGGCCAAACCGCAACTGGCAAAGGCTACATCTAGATTTTGCCGCCTATGAGGGGAAAGATTTTCTCATTCTCGTTGATAGTAGATCCAAATGGCCCGAAATCTTCCACATGAAATCTACAACTTCTGCTAAAGTAATAGAAAAGCTAAGAACCTGTTTTGCAGCTTACGGCTTACCAAATACTGTGGTAACAGATGGAGGTACTCAGTTCACGTCTCAAGAGTTTAATGACTTTCTGAAGTTCAATGGCATTCGGCATCTGGTTTCACCACCATATCATCCGGCTTCAAATGGCCTTGCAGAAAGGATGGTGCAGACAACCAAAGACGTCTTCCTGAAACAGCTTTTGGAGGATTCAAAAACCACTTTAAACCGAACCCTACAACATAGGCTAGACAGCTTTTTGTTTGCCTACAGGAACACGCCACACTCGACCACAGGCATGACACCTGCCGAAATGTTTCTCAAGACCATCCCACGTACACCATTGAGTTTACTTAAGCCTCATTTGTCTGACGATATGAAGAGAAAGCAAGAAGAGACGAAAACGAGAGCTGATACCCGAAGAGGAAAACAGAGATCTTTTAATAAAGGAGATATGGTGCTAGTCCGTACTGTGAGACAAGAGAAGATAAACTGGCAGTCTGGTGTCATTTTCAAGGTTGTCAGTCCAGTAACCTATCTAGTTAATGTGGAAGGTAAAACAAGTTTCATACATGCAGACCACCTTAAGTTGAATCCATCACATGAAGATGAAGAAGAACAAACGTTACCTAGACCAGATGAAAACACAAGGACAGAAGAAATTGCAGCACCGGCAATTGAATATTCTCCTAGACAAACCCCAACAAAAAGCCCTAGTAAATCCCGGACAAGACCATCATTACCACAAAATCAAGACTCTCAAGAATCACCAGGAATAATCAAGTCTCCAGAAAGAGTAAACTTGAAGAGTCCAGACTCATGTATCAGGCGTTCAAACCGAACAATAAAACCGCCTGATAAACTGAACCTGTAGAGCATAAGAAGAGAGTCTCCCTCCCTAAGAAGAGTTTTTATTTAGAGTGGATGTTTTATTTTTATAAGTAGGGAGGGAATTGTTATAAAGTAAAGAATATTTTAGTTTCATTATAACAATCATCAAGAAGCCAGTTTTAGTTAAATACAATAGGGCCTAAGGTCAAAGTACAAATAGTACAAAGTTCAACCCCACAGAGGAGACGAACGACGAGGAAGTCTCAGTCTACGTTATGCCAAGGTACGTTAAACATGATAGTCATAGTGTGTTGTTGGTTAGTCAGGTTAAATTCAGTGTTAGACCGGCTAGTTATGTCTAAATCGTATAGGTTATGATTAGGCAATTATTAAAGAAAACTAAACTATTTCACCAACCCATTGAGTTATTATTATTAGATGTTGTATGTATTGCAATAAAAACACTCAGTAAACAATTGGCATCCATTTGACATGTAGATCACTGAAAACGAACGAGTCGGAGGTGAATTACAAGACTTCAACCAACAAAGATTTTAATGGTTGTATAATTTTCTTTGAAAAAAAGATTGTTACTCGAGTACTGATTATGCGATGTTATGTTTTTTTTTATAATAAAATACTCAGCAAACTACTGGCTTTCATTTGAGGCATTGGTCATTCAAATCTATCGGGTTTGAGGGGATTTATAGAACTTTAACCAAATAACATTTTAGTTTTTCCAAGATTTGTCTTTAATTAAAGATATTATCCCAGGTTATAATTATTACGTTATATGAAATTACACAACGTACACAACGTGGTGGGAAGATGTAATAGCGGTATTTACTATGAATACTCAGTGAGTTACTGGATTTAATGGTTCTTTTCAGCTATTATTTATTACAATCTGACGTGTTTGGGGCGAGTTATAAGCTTAAACGTAGAATAAAAGTTGTTGTTTCTTAACTTTCTTCTGTACTTAAAGCCATATTTCTCAGCTGCTATGTGTACTATGTTATTCGTTCTGATCTAAAAACACTAAGTCAACTTAGAACTTTCATTTGAGACAATTTTCATTTAAATATGTAGAGCTTAAGGTGAGTTGTAGACCTCTAACTAACACTAGGTTTTCAATTTTAAGGACTGTCTTTTATTAAAGATCTATATCTCAAGATCTAAATGAGCTGTGTTATTCATTTTGGTGAAGAAAACCTCAGTAAGCTATGGGTACACTCAGATATGAACCTAACCTGGTTTATTCCTATCAAGTTTTTTTGTTGCGTTTGATATGCACCAGTGAACTCAGGCTTACCTTGCACAGTATTTTGTCATTGTTGATATAATATTCTTTTAAAAGGGGACAGCAAGGGACTGAAAATACATTTTCAGATGGTATACTTAGATTGAGAGAAACGGTCTTCGCACACTTATTGTTAGACCCTGGAAGAGAATCCAAGTGGTAAGCGTGTTGTTGAGATTTGTCAATAAATAACAGAGACTAGTGAGAACCTGATTCCCCATTTACCAGATCATTGCTATTATTAACAGGAATAAATACATATTTACAATTGGAGTACTCGACAGATTTAGTTATGTCTGTAATAACATCTTGATTGTCAAGCTTTATTAGCTGTGACAGAGCAGGGGTGATAAAAAGGGATTGACCTTCAATTACATAACTTTGCAAGGACAGAAAGTAATCAGTAATTATGCTATCATCCACCCATTTATCTTTTAACATTTTGTTTAAGCTAAGAATATCCTGTTGGGCTAAACTATTCTTAACTTTAAAGTCTATTAAAATGTCTAATTGTTTCTTGTTGCCCGGTGGTTTTATGGTCTACATACCCTATATAACTCAAAACAACAGTAAAAAAAACTTAATAGAACAAAACCAGGTTAGGGACAAAATCCTCATTTGGCTGCCGGACTAACTATATTACTTACGTCAATAGCTCATTGAATTTCACTTCATGTTGCAGTACATGTTTCGACACATTGTCATCATCAGCTGAGTACTAGTGAAGTTTTTATTCACCATATGGTTTCGTCAATGTTCAATTAAATAAACACGTAACACGTAACACAAATACGACACGACACGGAACATATACATTTACAACACGTAAAGCTTTAAGACATGCAGGCCTGTTCGAACAAAACACACGATCACGCCGCGGGTCGGGGACAGACTGAGTCAGATGAGACAGATGATGACAATGTGTCGAAATATGTACTGAAACATAAAGTGAAATTCAATGAGCTATTGACGTAAGTAATATAGTCTTACAATTATAGTTTTAGTTAATTTTATAGCCCCGTGATTACGTTTTCGTGACAAATGGCTAAACTTACCTCGTCAGCCAATCCTTGACATAAGATATCAATATGTGTTACATCATTAAATTGTATACATTAAATACTGTTTGTATAAATTTTCAATTTATCTAGCAGTTTTCAATTTTCACATTTCACATTTCACATTTCATATTTCACATTACACATTTCTGGTTGTTTCAAAACAGTTGTAAACTTGTTTTAAAACAGTTGAAAAACTTGTTTCAAAACAGTTGAATAACTTGTTTCAAAACAGTTGAAAAACTTGTTTTAAAACAGTTGAAAAACTTGTTTTAAAACTGTTAAAAAACTTTTATTTTCATTTTTATTTTTATTTTCATTTCCATTTTCATTTCCATTTTCATTTCCATTTTCATTTTCATTTTCATTTTCATTTTCATTTTCATTTTCATTTTCATTTTCATTTTCATTTTCATTTTCATTTTCATTTTCATTTTCATTTTCATTTTCATTTTCATTTTCATTTTCATTTTCATTTTCATTTTCATTTTCATTTTCATTTTCATTTTTATTTTCATTTTCATTTTCATTTTCATTTTCATTTTCATTTTCATTTTCATTTTCATTTTCATTTTCATTTTCATTTTCATTTTCATTTTCATTTTCATTTTCATTTTCATTTTCATTTTCATTTTCATTTTCATTTTCATTTTCATTTTCATTTTCATTTTCATTTTCATTTTCATTTTCATTTTCATTTTCATTTTCATTTTCATTTTCATTTTCATTTTCATTTTCATTTTCATTTTCATTTTCATTTTCATTTTCATTTTCATTTTCATTTTCATTTTCATTTTCATTTTCATTTTCATTTTCATTTTCATTTTCATTTTCATTTTCATTTTCATTTTCATTTTCATTTTCATTTTCATTTTCATTTTCATTTTCATTTTCATTTTCATTTTCATTTTCATTTTCATTTTCATTTTCATTTTCATTTTCATTTTCATTTTCATTTTCATTTTCATTTTCATTTTCATTTTCATTTTCATTTTCATTTTCATTTTCATTTTCATTTTCATTTTCATTTTCATTTTCATTTTCATTTTCATTTTCATTTTCATTTTCATTTTCATTTTCATTTTCATTTTCATTTTCATTTTCATTTTCATTTTACATTTCACATTTATTTCACATTAATTTCACATTAATTTCACATTTCACATTAATTTCACATTTCACATTTCACATTTCACATTTCATATTTCACATTACACATTTCCAGTTGTTTCAAAACAGTTGTAAACTTGTTTCAGAACAGTTGTAAGATTGTTTTAAAACAGTTGAAAAACTTGTTTCAAAACAGTTGTAAACTTATATAAAAACAGTTGTGAAATTGTTTCAAAAAGTTGTAAACTTATTTTACATCGGTTGTAAACTTGTATTAAAATAGTTCATTTTCATTTTCATTTTTATTTTCATTTTCATTTTCATTTTCATTTTCATTTTCATATTCATTTTCATTTTCATTTTCTTTTTCATTTTCATTTTCATTTCACATTTCACATTTCACATTTCACATTTCACATTTCACATTTCACATTTCACATTTCACATTTCACATTTCACATTTCACATTTCACATTTCACATTTCATATTTCACGTTACACATTTTCAGTTGTTTCAAAACAGTTGTAAATTTGTTATAAAATAGTTAAAAAAACTTGTTTTAAAACAGTTGAAAAACTTGTTTTAAAACAGTTGAAAAACTTGTTTTAAAACAGTTGAAAAACTTGTTTTAAAACAGTTGAAAAACTTGTTTTAAAACAGTTAAAAAACTTGTTTCAAAACAGTTGAAAAACTTTCCAGACCGTTTGCCTTTGCAATTTCCCTCCACTTCCTCTACGTCGTGGACCTGTTTCCATCATTCCCTAATCGCTTTTAAGCATGGCGATGTATTATTCCATAGTCACATGACATTTCCCACACTCCAGACCCTTTGCCTTTGCAACTTCCCTTCACTTTCTCAACGTCGTGGACCTGTTTCCATCATTCCCTAAGCCTCTTTAAGCATGACTTTGTATTATTCCACAGTTAATTGACATTTCCTACTCTCCAGACCGTTTGCCTTTGCAGCTTGCCTCCACTTCCTCTACGTCTTGGACATGTTTCCATCATTCCCTAATCGTTTTTAAGCATGGCGTTGTATTATTCCATAGTCACATGACATTTCCCACACTCCAGACCCTTTGCCTTTGCAACTTTCCTTCACTTCCTCAACGTCGTGGACCTGTTTCCATCATTCCTTAAGCCTTTTTTTAAGAATAAAACAGTTGTAAACTTGTTTCAAAACAGTTGTAAACTTGTTTTAAAACGCTTAAAAAACTTGTTTTAAAACAAGTTTTTCAAGTGTTTTAATACAAGTTTTAAAACAAGTTTTTCAATTGTTTTAATACAAGTTTTTTAATTGTTTTAATACAAGTTTTAAAACAAGTTTTTCAAATGTTTTAAAACAAGTTTTTTAACTGTTTTAAAACAAGTTTTTTAACCGTTTTAAAACAAGTTTACAACTGTTTTAAAACAAGTTTACAACTCTTTTATGATTAATAAGGCTACGGGGAATTATGGAAATAGGTCTACGACGTATATGAAATGGAGGGAAGTTGCAAAGGCAAAAGGTGTGGAGTGTGGTAAATGTCAAGTGACTATGGAATTATACAACGCTTTGCCTTAACAGGTTTAAC